ATAAAAGTTTCCTTTTTCAATACCCAAAATCAATCCGATTGATTGAAACTTTCCGTTAGTTTGGGTAATTGATCTGATCATGAAAGATTCTTTCAATATGGAAAATCAAGCCAATTGATTGGAACCTTACGTTAAATTGTTCAATTAATTATGATCGAATAAACATTTCCTTCAATACGGAAAATTAATTCGAATTAACTTCACTTACCTTTTTCAAGGAATTTCCTTTAGTTTTTACAAACTATTCACATTTCTCAACAGTAACCGCCAGCGAGGCGAGGACCACAACCACAACACTCCCTTCTCGATCTCTCTTTTAGTCCCTGGAGGCCGTCTGGATCTGTTCATCGAAAGTGAATCGATCTCTTCCACTTACCGAGATCAAGAATAGTCGCAACAAGACATGGATTTGGGCTCGTGATTGGGTGTGGGATTGAGGTGGTCGGTTTGTTGCATTCAACATGAGAGGGATTTGAACTCCATGGTAGAGAGGAGAAGAAGGAGATGGAAGTATCAAGGGAGGACGAGGGATGGTGAAGGTGACCAAGCAGTGATATTTTTTCTTCTTTTTTAAGGGTGGGATGGGATGGCATAATTGGGGTGGGGGGGGGGGGGATGAGATGTGGGAGACTGGATCTCTCGTCGCAGTCGCAATCCCTTTTCACGTCGGATAAAGGTGGGATGGAATGGATGGAATAATTGGAGAGAGAGTGGGAAGAATGGGGAAAGGTAAAGGGTAAGTGAAGAGAGAAAAGGATAAGATAGGAGTAGGATTGGCAATGGCCAGGTTCGGGGCATCACGATAGTCATATCCGCCACGTGGTAGGTCGGGTAATTTATAATAGGGCGTGGATTGGGGCAGATCGACTCAATGGGTATTCAATTTATATGGAAATTATTATAAATATTCATTATTTTCATTATAAGACCAAAAAATAAATCATAATAGAATAGAATATAGTTAAATTATTAAAGAAATTAAGATTTTCACTAATATACAACTTTATAATAGCTAAAATATGATGTAATAAAAGGAGAATCCTAAGTAATTTGACTAAAATTACATGTATTTTAGGCAAGAACGGGTCGAGAATGGGGCAGGTCAGGACAGGTCGGATCGTTGAGAATACCCATGCCCACCCCGCCCTGCCTACGGGGCGGGTCGGACAAGCCCCAAATCAGGTCAAACAGGTCGGATAAATAGGGTCAGGTCGAAATTGCCATCTCCGAGGAGGGATCGCAGCGAATTAAAGGGAAAAAGAGCAATTACGGGTTTTGTGTTAAACTGGACCACACAATCCAAATTCGGTTAAAACTGGATGCAACTGAATCTAGTTTTTTGTCTTCATATTTCCAAAAAATTCAGATTGGGACCGGATCAATTCGGGACAGTTTAATTGGACTGGATAGCCACCCCTTTTTGACATGCATTAGGATGTTTTAGGATTGATTATGAATGATTATGAACCTATTTATCTATGTTTATTTGATGTTTGTTCTTTCTTGTATCAAGGATTGTGGGATTGTCTGTATCCCATTTGCCCTAATTGCAACTTAGGTGGTAGAGGATATATCATTCTCCTTCTTGTGATTTATGAATGATTTGAATTTGCAAAGAATTTTTATGCCTTTATCTATGTTGATTATGCTTTGAAATTTTCTCTCCATATGCTTTTCATGATTGCCTACTACTTAGGATTGCATGAGATAGTGTGGATTTGAGAAGTTTAGAATACTAGTGTAAATGAATGATCTAAGAGTCTAGTATAGTGGACAAAACCACCATACCCCTACCTATTAGACGCCTACGCAGGTAAAGTTAGGATGTCGAGTGTGTGAACATCGACTCGACGACCAAGTGTGCGGATGGGTCGAACCTATTTCGATGAGATAAGTTTTATCTCTAAAATGTGAGCTAGCTGAGGTGACATTGGGCTAGTGGATTAGTGTAGGAGGGAGATTGGTTGCATGACCATTGAGCCAAATCTCTATATTAGCAATATTTGCACCTCAATTACCATGGATTATCCTTTTGTACTTTACATGTTATCTCTAATGGTTTGAGCGAGCGAGACACCCCATTTACCTTTTCCCTCTTATCATTCTCTAGATCACTAATATCCAACTGCCCACCTACTAAGTACCCACTCAACCAGATAACGAACGAGCAAAAGTAGCCTAGCATAGTTATACTTGGCTTTGTTAGGATTGACGTGGGTGCGCTTTGATTTTCCAAAAATAAAATTTGTCAACACATTAGCTAGTTAAATCTCTATCATAAGAGGCGCATGAACATGTAGTGAATGACATTAGTGGAAGGGATAGAGTGATGCTATAGATGGTCATTGATGCATGATGTGATTAAGCCTTAGTATGAATGATGAAACTCGAGATTCACTTTCTTATATAACAGGCATCTTTACTTTTATTCATCTACAAATAGAAAATCCCTAAACAAATTTACTATTCTTGCTTTACTTTTTCTTGCTTGTTAGTTGAATGCAACCCTTAAATGCTTATCTTGTTTTCGTGTGAGTCATAGATGGTATGTTATGAGTTGTTATGCATTAGAATACTTTGTGGAAAAGACCCTAGGATATCCTAGGATTATCTCTTCGATTTGCTACATCAGCTATGTTCCTCGACATTGATATGGTAGGAGAATGCACGTTCATCGATTCAGGGAAAGTAGTCACATTGTAAGCTATGGGATTTACTTGAAACCCTCAAAATTTAAAATTTTGGAGTAATAACTTAGGTTCCATCTAAATTTATGTCATGCCATTCAACCATCGCAAACAATGTTCCATCTAACTTTCTGTCATGCCATTCAACCATCGCAAACAATTCAATTTGATCACAGTCTCACACTATAGATATCAAAGGGTCATTAATGAAGAAAAAGTGATCAAAGAACCATTGCATTCATTCATCCATTCATCCAAAACTCTAAAACATTCAATGTTCACCCCCACATTTAAAAGACACATTGTCCTCAATGTGAGAGTCGAAAAATCAGGTCTTAGACCATAGGAGTTGCATCAGACGATTACAATAAAAGAACTAGGGATTAGAGATTGGATTGGGATTTGAAGAGAATTGGGGAAGAACTTAGGAGAAGTAGGGAAAGAGGGAGATAGAGGATTGGAGTTTTAAATGTTATTTTTTCATAATGATCAAAATAAGAATGCTCATCCCTTTTAAAGTAGGGTTGTCCAAGATATAGCAAATATACTCAATTAAATAAAAAAGCCGAGCCTCGAGCCCTTTACCTGTCAAGTTTCTAACACATCACTTCTAGTTAGTGGTCAATGGATACAGAGCTAAAACTGGTGCTACTGATTTCCCCCTTCTTCAGTCAGCCATTGTCGCATCCACAAATTTATTAGGAGCTCCTCGATATTTGTCGGTTTGTCGTCCACTTTGCATCTCTGTTCGCGACGAAGTTCATTTCCAATGGCGATCGAACTGCTCTTTGGAAATCCTAGAAATCCAAACCGGAGATGATAGCTGATTGTGTAACAGTTTGTCCTTGATTGTCAAGTCTTAGATGTGAAGGGAGTGCATTTTCGAATGTAATCGTTGAGGATGAGTTGTTAGAAGACCAATTGATAATTTTACACCACAAGTATAAATAAGTCGCAACGATTATCGACGAATTAATAAATACATATGTTCCCTACTCTCTCCCTATTAGTCCTACATATTTGACTATTTATGCTAACTGCCCTGCATATATAGTAAATTACTAGCGTGGGCCCCGACCAGTTGGCCGGAGGAAGGTGAGGTATGAAATTTTATAATGTAATGGGGTGTATAGCTTATTGTTGTATAGTTTTTTTTGGGAAACTCGTGATAAAAATAGTGAATTTTAGCAGGAAAAGACATGAATGATGCAATGGATCAAAAATCGGCCTTATGAACCAAAATCAAGTACATGTTACCTTGTGAAGCAATATTGTTTCTGGTAATATGATGAGGTGGAGTAAGTTTTATAGAAACCGAATTCCATAAAATTGAATAAAAAATCGCCTATCCCGTCAGTTTTCGGGAAATGAGCATCTCACAATCGTTGCTAGCTTTTACTCGACCCGCTGGTCAATTTATTTGCTTTATAAAACTTTCATCTTGTCGTCATTGTGCTTTCTTATTTTTTTTAGGCCATGATAAAATCTAAGGAAATCAAGAACGAACAACACGATTTGGGATAGGAACCGCCATTGTCGTATCCCTAGAAAATGGTGGTAAACACAGACTCACCTGCCAAACTGGTTTGGATTGAGATTTTTATAAGGTATTAGGGAACCATGTGATTATAAATTAGACTTGATCAAAACGGGCCAAAACTTGAAATTCATCATGTTTGAGTGACCCATGCCAAATTCTAATTATTCTTTACTTTTAAACTTTCTATTTGAAAATAAAAAATAGTGAAAGAAAAGAGATGACTGCAATTCGCCATTTGCGCATCACTTATTCGGGAATTAAACCATAAAAATTCAAAAGGAACTGAAAATGTTTAGGATCGTTTTAATGTTTAAAATAACCAAATAAATCGTTCTGTTTAGTTTTTTACTAACAAATACCAAACGATTCCCTATAAAATACACTATAATTTGATCATTATGATATCAAATAATTATATAATATATTTGAAATGATAAAAATTGGACTAATTGGGTTGGTTGAGGTTCAACCATTGAATAACTTTAAAATACATTATATTTTAGCCACTAAGATATAAAATAATAGTATAATATATATTATGCCAGAGAAAATAGCTTGTTTTAGAATGATAAACCAATGATGTACATTTGTTTTACTTGATGGCCAAATCCCGTGTAGGTCAGGTCCATTCAACTCTTTTATTTTATGGTTAGCGGTTCGCCCATTAGATACCATGTATTAGTTTATTGTTAAATTTTTTTTATTTTTAGCAATAAAAAGGAGTATTGTTTTTGTCTTTTCATATATATTTTATCACCACGTAGAAATAAAAGGACTTAAAGAAAAAAATTGACACTCCTGGACCCGTTTAAATCCGCATGTGTCCGGTATGTTGGCCCGTTCCACAGAGGAAAGAGAAAAAAAGTGACACTCCCTATTCTACCCTTCCTACAAACGCTCATGGAGCAGTGAATTTGAAATGGGGGGAGGGTTTTTTCCTCCCTGCTATTATTTGTTTTTAATTTAAAAAGATACAACAACTGTACTTAGTGTGATTGGTTATGATCCTTGCTTTTCTTTAAAATGGTCATGGTTCGAATTCCAGTATGTTTCTTTTTAATGAATAAAAAACAAGTAATTGTGAAGACCAAAATGTCCTTCCTACTTTCACTCTCGTTGCAGGAAATTTGAAATGGGCTCCCGTTTTTCCCTTCGGTGTATTATATTATGTGTAGACTCAAAATTAGGGGTAGCAGTCGGTCGGTTTCGGTTAAACCGAACATTCCCCCATGTCTGCCGGCCACCGACCGTGAGAGGAGGTGCGGTTAGCCGACCATCGACCGGCCGGTTTTCGATTTTGGTTCAGTTATACCGCAACAACCGAATTTATTAAAAAAACAAAAGGCCAATACCCAACCCTAGCCCCGCCCACGTTACCTCTCTCCTCTCCCAATACCCACCCACCCCACCCCACCCACTTCTTCTTCTTCTCTCCTTTCCCTACCACTAAATTCTTATCTTCTTCTTTCTCCTTCTCTCTCCTGCTTTCCTCCAAAAAAACCACCAGAGGGAGACCAGCCCTTTTCTTCCTTCTATCTCCTTCCTCCATTTCATTGCAGATTTACTTCCTTCCTTCCTTCTCCGCCATCCAAACCCACAAGCCACAACCCACTAAATTCTTATATTCTTCCTCATTCTCGCTCCTTCTCTCTCCTGCCTTTCTCCAAAAAGAACCACCAGAGGGTCGCGGATGGGAGATGGCGATGCCTGGGGTCGCGGATGCCTCGGGTCGTCGGGGATGCCTAAGGTCGCGGATGCCTGGGGTCGTCGGAGTCATCGGGGATGGGAGATGGCGATGCCTGGGGTTGCGGATGCCTGGGGTCGTCGGGGATGGGAGATGGCGATGTCGGAGAGGAATCGGCGAGGAGACGCGCAGTGCCCGGTCGTTGAGGAGGGCGGGGAGGGGAGACAGAATCATCGGGGAGGGTGGCTGGGATTTGGATGGCGGAGGGCTGGGAGAGAAGGGCAGAACAGAAGGATTGGGAATTGGGAGAGGTGAATTAGGGTTGGGGTTTTATTAAAAGGATGGCTGGCCGGTTATGTTCGGTTAGTCGGGTAACCGCGGTTAATTATCCTCGGTTACTCGGCTAGCCAAAAACCAGCTTTATTCTACCGAACACCGACCGAGGCAAATAAACGTCGGTTTTCGGTTAGCTACTAACCGGCGGTTATCGGTTGAACAGGTCGGTTAGCCGCTAACCTGAAAACCGAACTGCCACCCCTACTCAAAATAAAGGATAAAATGTTCTTTTATTAATAATATTATTAAAATCACATGGATATGCTGACATTGCTGCTATTTGCTCGATGTTCGAGTTCATTATTGAGCATGATCCATTGATTACAAAAGGAAGCCTTGATAAAGCAAAATATGGCAATAGCTAGTGTCTTGAATATTCATTACAAGGCAGAGATTGGATATCAACCGTAAGGTAGCCTTGATCAGCTCCCTTTGCCGTCTCCGTCAAGTTCGTGTAAAACTGTATGGCCCAACATTGGACCCTTTCTGCTGCAATCATCTTCCAAAAGTCTGACGGTCGTCTGAGTCCCAGTTCCACGTCTTGTGACCTACCAAATTACATGCGCACAGTTAGTACCATAATAATAGGATAAATACAATTTAATAGCCAAACTTTTCATTCTAAACAATATAATAACCAAATCTTTTCGAAAATAATTTAATATCCAAACTGTTAACTTTCCGTCCGATCGTCTATTAGTTGACTCCAACATGACAATTATATCGCTGAGTTGGATGTCAATTAGGACGTGGCAAAAAGTCAACCATTTGACTGTTCCACATAAATATTTATTAATTTATATAATTATTATTTTGATAAAATAAACTAAAAATAAACAAAAGTTATCCACTCTTTTGCGTATTCTTCTTCGATCATCTTCTTCCTCAGCAATTGCAATTGACCGCCGAACTTGGTCCATCAAATTAAGTTCCAGAATCCCACAGAGTAATCATAATCCAGTGAGCAACCAGGAAACAACAAGGGTCGCGAAGCCCAATATAAAGGTTGAATCTTATTAGTCCCCCTCTCTCGAGCGAAAGGAATTTCGGAACGGGCGGCGGCCGGGGAGATCTTCTAGAAAGGGTGAGGAGGAAGAAATGGAGGAGCGCGACTGTTTGGTGGGACTAGAAGGAGGAGGAAGGAAAAAGAACAAGTGTGAAGGCGGTGAAGGGGATTTCTCCTGCGCGGAGCAGAGAATAGGAGACTATAATATAGATCTGGGTTTTTAGATTTGGAATTCGAGAGCTACTCTTCGGGCGATGGTCTCCACAAGCTTTCCCCGTTCCACCAAGGGTAACCGAACCCCCTTCCTGATCCTCGCCGCCGGGTGAATTTCAACCGCAAAAATGACCAATTCTTGTGAGCCACTCGATGCGCGCGCTTGAGAAGGAAACGCAATTGGGATCGCCAACGCGTGCGACACGGCGCAGAGGTCAGCGACGACGACACGCGGAGGTCAGCGACGGCGGCGCAGAGAGAAGCATCCAAGGAGAATGTGTTGAAGAAGAGGTCGTAGTCTCGTAGAGGAGAGTGGAGAGGGAAGAATGGGAGAGGTTTGTGGAGTAGTGTATTTTTAATGTTATTATTTTTAATAAAAAATATTAATAAAATTATATATCTATGTGGCAAAGTCAAATTATTGACTTTCAGCCATGTCAGTTTGTATTGACACGTCATAGTCAACTAACGATTGACTGAACGGAAAGTTGACGATTTCGCTATTAAATTGTTTTAAAAAAGGTTTGGCTGTTATTTTGTTTAGAATGAAAGGTTTAGCTATTAAATCGTATTTACCCTAAATAATATGGTCAAACTATTGTATTTCCGGAATATTTTATTCTCCTAGTAAACAGGTAAAGTGACACTATCTGGAACTGCATGATTCAACTAGAGTTATCCTAATATATGTAATGGCTGAATCCCACAATCTTATTCTCTAAAATCAAATTTTCGTATCAATTTAATAAAAACTAGCGTGACCCCCGACCAGTTGGCCGGAGGAATGAAATTTGATAATGTAATGGGTGTATAGCTTATTGTTGTATAGTTTTTTTTTTGGAAACACGTGATAAAAAAATAGTGAATTTTAGCAGGAAAGAGACATGAATGATGCAACGAATAAAAAATCGGCCTTATGAACCAAAATCAAGTACATGTTACCTTGTGAAACAATATTGTTTATGGTAATATGATGAGGTGGAGTAAGTTTTATAGAAACCGAATTCCATAAAATCGAATAAAAAATCGCCTATCCCGTCGGTTTTCGGGAAATGAGCATCTCACAATCATTGCTAGCTTTTACTCGGCCCGTTGACCGATTAATTTGCTTTATAAAACTTTCATCTTGTTGTCATTGTGCTTTCTGGTTTTTGTCAGGCCATGATAAAATCTAAGGAAATAAAGAACGAACAACACGATTTGGGATAGGAAACGCCGTTATCATATCCTTAGAAAATGGTGGTAAACACAGACTCACCTGCCAAATTTGTTTGGATTGAGATTTTTATCGGGTATCAGGTAACCATGTGATTATAAATTAGACTTGATCAAAACGGGCCAAAACTTGAAATTCATCCTGTTTGACCGACCCATGCCAAATTCTAATTATTCTTTGCTTTTAAGCTTTCTATTTGAAAATAAAAAATAGTGTAAGAAAAGAGATGAATGCAATTCGCCATTTGCATATCACTTATTCGGGAATAAAACCATAAAAATTCAAAAGGATCTCAAAATGTTTAGGATCGTTTTAATGTTTAAAATAACCAAATAGATCTTTCTGTTTAGTTTTTTACTAACAAATACCAAATGATTCCCTATAAAATACACTATAATTTGATCATTATGATATCAAATAATTATATAATATATTTGAAATGATAAAAATTGGACTAATTGGGTTGGTCGAGGCTGAACCATTCAATAACTTTAAAATACATTCTATTTTAGCCACTAAGATATAAAATAATAGCATAATATATATTATGTCAGAGAAAATAGCTTGTTTTAGAAAGGCAAACCAATGATGTTCATTTGTTTTACTTGATGGCCAAATCCGGCGTAGGTTAGACCCATTCAACTCTTTTATTATGGTTAACAGTTAGCCCATTAGATACCATACATTGGTTTATTGTTAAATTTTTTATTTTTAGCAATAAAAAGGAGTATTGTTTTTTCCTTTTCATATATATTCTATCACCACGGAGAAATAAAAGGTCTTAAAGAAAAATATTGAGACTCTTGGACCCGTTTAATTCCGCATGTGTACGATAAGTTGGCCCGTTCCACAGAGGAAAGAGAAAAAAATTGACACTCCCTCTTTGTCCCTTATTAAATTTGGAAAAATTGATTGACGACTCCAAATTAGACATTGTTGCAATAGGTGAGATCATTGAATAATTTTACCAAATTGTCATGATAATATCGATTTGGGTTAGAGATCGACACATATTTGAGTTATAGGCACAATATGGTTATAAGTAATAACCCATTATATTTACCTTTAGGCAATTTCCACAAGCAATTTAGGGTTGAAATTTTGGATGACCCGCCCCTGACCCTGGCTGACCCGCCCCTAAAGGGTCAAGGCACATAAGTGACCCGCCCCTGACCCTGTCTCATTCTTGACCCTGTATGACCCTTTAGGGTCGGGGCGGGTCGGAAAGGGTTGGGTCAGTGGGTCGACCCTAATAAATATTCTAATTAATCACCAAAATTAATTAATTAGAAACTTTTTCTCAAAAATTATTTATTTATCAAATTAATTTCCAGAAAATTAATTAATCACCAAAATTATTCTAAAAAAATATTCAATCACAAAAATAATTTCAGAAAATTAATTAATAAACACAATAATTTCATAAAACTATTTATTTACCAAATTAATTCCATAAAATTAATTAATCAACAAAATTATTCCAAAAAATTATTCAATCACAAAAATAATTCCAGAAAATTAATTAATCACCACAATAATTCCAAAATCAATTATTTACCAAATTAATTTCAAACTTTCAACAAAAAAATACTTATTTACCAAATTAATTCCAAAAAATTAACCATTGACCAAAATAATTCCAAAATTTTATTTATTTACCAAATTAATCCCATAAAATTAATGAATCACCAAAATAATTTCAAAAAATTATTTATTTAGCAAATTACTCCCATAAAATATGTGTTTGATGAAAGGGTGTAAAGACGAAGACGATGCATGATGGATAGGTCACCAATTCCGACAAAACATGATACCAATGGGCAACCATTCATTTAAAAGTCCAAATCACTACAAATCACTACAAAGTACAAATACATAGTTGATTACATAATACATTGTTGTTCAATCATCATCAACCAAATCACTCATGATAGTACCCTCGTCCAAGCAAAACTCTTTCAACTCTGCAAAATTAACAACACACTAAATAAATTAATAATTATCTTTTTTATAAGAAAATTAATAATTATCTTAACAAATATTGAATGATAAAAAAATTATATTTCATACCTTGTTCAAGTTCTTCAATTTCTTCAAATTGCTCTTCCATGTCAATTGGAAGAGTACTCGATCGAAGCCAATTTTGACAACAAATCAAACTCTCAACAACCAAGGGAGTCAAAGAACTCCGAAATGTATCTAAAACGCGCCCCCCGGTACTGAAAGCAGACTCAGATGCAACAGTTGATACTGGAATCGCCAACACATCTCTAGCCATCAAACTCAGTATTGGATACTCACCAGAATGCTTTTTCCACCATGCTAAAATGTCAAATGTTTTGTCCTCATCATCCTCAAGATTCGCCTTTAAGTACCTCTCAAGCTCTGAAAGTGTAGTTTCTCCCACCCTATCTTCCATTCTCTTTCTCATGAATTTTTTCTTCAAATAATCCTCCACACTTTCAGATTCATCATTCTCATTTGGTGCTATACTCTCCACACTTCTTGATGAGCTTCCACTAGTAACCCCTCTCATTTCAGAATAGTCCTTGAACATATCCTCCAAAACACCATTCACACTCTCAAACAACTCATTTTTAGTCCAAATTCCCCCATGTTCTATTCCATAAACCTCATCAAGCACAAAACAGGCATACTCCAACTTGTACCTCGGGTCAAGAACCACAACAATAAACAATAAGGGATTGATGTCATCAAAGGTGCCCCAATACTTGTCATGCTTAGCTTTCATTCTTCTTGCCATGATTTTGTGACTCTCAATTTTTGATGAAGTTTCTTTTGTAAGCATACAAGAATTAGATCCATGTATGTACTCTAATACTAGAATTAGACCAGCTGTTATTTGTAGGACGAGTTACCACTACAATCAATCACATTATCAAATAAAAATGCAGCCGTATAAACTTGAATCCATACAGAGATGAAATGGAAACCAAAGTACACCCATGAACTACTGTATCGCCATAGATACATAGATAAACTGAAAAAACACAAGTAAAAAGCATACTGTCTGCAGTCATAGCCAATACAGCATAAGAGAGAAGCACAACAACACTGTCAACAATGGTATCACCCATCAAAATGCCAAATGTTGCTTCGCATCATAACTGAAAAAGCTCTTTCAAGGGATGATTCCGATTTCCAAACTAAGGACACATCATCCGAATTCAATTCTCACCCCCGACCAACCACTTGCTTTGTTGCTTATGCAGACTGTACCAATCCATTCCCCAGCACAACAAAACCAAAATTTAAACTCCTGCTTATTTCTAGGTCAACAATGACTAATTGGACAAGTAATGGAAGGAGAATCAAATCCACAAGACACCAGATCATTATCTATTGTAAACTCAGGTGAGCAATTGAAAGCTATAGAAGAAAACCCAGGTGAGCAATTCAAAATAAGAGGGCCACGAAGTATATACCTTGATCAGAGTAGTTGAAGACAATCGACCTTGAGATCGGAGCACGAAGACGGCTACAATTAGCTGGTAAATCTTTCCAAGTTCCCCACGCGGCTTCAGACCCAACAATCAAACATCAGTTAACCCATCTTTACCTGTTAAGAGATAAAACTCTAGTGTCACGGGAAGAAGGGGAAAAGTTCTTCGAGCAGGAAAAAAGAAAACGAGCAGCCATTAATGAGCACTGATCACCAATCGCACAACTTTCGGGAAGAAAACCATCAGGGGAAGGGCGAAAGAAGAAACTAACCAAACAGGAGCTCAGGAGGTGAACCGAGGGAATGCGGTGGAGATTGGCGAGAGAAGGAGAGGAGTTTTGTGGGGGCAGCTTCGATTGATTGGCCAGAGAAGAGGGGATTGGGTTTAGTTTGAAGTGGAACAGAGCCGAGAACGACGAACAGAGCCGAGAAGGCGAGAACGACGAACAGTGGAGACTGGAGAGTTAGGGATTTCGTCTTCGTCAATTTTCACAGGGATAGGGTCAGGATGGGTCATTTAGGGTCAAGACCCGGCCCTTACAGGGTTCTGTGATGACCCGGCCCTCTTTTGACCCTTCATTCAAATTGACCCGGCTCGACCCTAAGGGTCGGGTCGGGTCGGGTCGGGTCGGGGGGTTTTCAGGGTCAAAGCTTCAGCCCTAACAAGCATCGGAACTAGTTGCGGTTCTCCCATTGGATGCCGGCTGCCTGCCGCAAAAGACCGCCGGACCGTGTTGTTGAATCCAACCCATCGACATATTCACATGAATCACCGCGCAGTTGGCTCTCTCCCCACCGACATCGCCGGTACCTGCAGCTAAATCGGAGAAACTACTTGCATACGGTTTACAGGGCGGCGTATGGTGATCAAAGGGGCAGTCGTATGCACAGGAGTAAACCCCGCAATAGTCGTCGCCGCTTCCACAGTAACCAGAAGCGCTACAGCAGCGTTTCTTATTACATAAGCTGCAATTAACACTCGGCCCACAACGGTGGTCGCTCCTCTCGTGACCGATGTGGTTAGCCGCTGGCAGTCCCAGATGAGCTATTACTAGCGTCGCAATAAGTAGTATTAGCCACCTCATGATTCTCTCTTTTCCTTTCTCTGTGTGCTGCAATTAAATAATAATGTTATTTGGTTGGCAAGGGGCTATATATATATATAAACATAGGGAAGTAGGAAGCCTGGATATATAGATGGCCTTGTTGGTAACTATGTCTAATTTCGGCGAAGTTGTTCTGCCAGCTCCTGCGTTACATGTTCCAGGCAATTTCTATGCGGTTCTTAATTAGTGACGATCGCCTGTGTAGGATAGGATATCCACCGTACGGCCTGGTTTTTTTCTGTTTGGAGGGAACGAAATCGTTAGCCTACTCGGCATGTTATCACATTATTTTAGGGGGATTTAGTAATTATTAGTTGTCCATTTATATATATTTATGTATTTCTCGTAGGAAGGGATATCCAGTTAGGACTTAAAAAATTCCGGTAACATCCAGGCTCGACGGGATATTACTTTTACGAAAATGGCCTTAATAAATAGCAAAATCGAATACTTGGGAAGAAAATGCAAATGTTACATGTTGTAGGAAACCAAATACATTAAAAGCTAACACAATCGAAAACCTTTTACTTAGCAAATACTTCACATAATTTAACGATCCCCAAACATACTTGATCCTCGTCGTGAACTGTTCAGAGTTTAACATGAAAACCTTTTACTTAGCAAATTCTTCACATGAAAAGCTAATACAATCGAAAACCTTTTACAGAATTTAACATCTTCCTTCCAGAGTCCTCCAGATCCCTTGATCCTCGTCGTGAACTGTTCGATCCTTAAACGTACTTTCAGGGACATGACCCCGACTGTTTCCTTTTGCTTGGACCACCAAGTCCTCCTCCCACTCCCTATGCAATGCCACCGCTTCTAGTTACGTCTAACGCACAATACTTGCATGTAATGACACCATGACTTAATTGATTCGACTATATTTTGAGAATTGGTCAGCAATAGGTATCATTTGGTAAATTACCAAACTGTACCTCATGACTATTGTACTAACGACCATCAATTGACTAACAACATACTCTCTCTCTCTCTCTCTCTCTCTCTCTCTCTCTCTCTTCACCCTTTCTTCTTATTCCTAGTTTTCCCAACATACATTATGCATATGCTATGCTCTCCCTTCTCAACCAAAGAACAAAGATCACCATTATCCTTTAGGGTTAATGACTAAAGACACCCCTCTACTTTGGTGCTTTTAACAAACACACTCCTCTACTATCTTGTTTAACAACCACATCTCTGTACAATTTCGGTGCTAACAAACACACCCTTCTATCTTTTTCCATCTTCTTTCCGTTATGTTTTGGCCCCACCCTCCTAGTCAGCAAACTTTCACTTATCACATTACTATTTTGCCCTTTCCTTCAAATTTTGGAGACTTAATTACCTTAATTAATCCTCCCAAAATCACGTTTTCACCTACCTTTCAGTTATCACGTTACTATTTTGCAATCTCAGATTACATTTCACCATTAGCCAATTTGAGATAACAAAGTCCATTGTTGACATAATAAATAAATGTCATTATATATAACCAATCCAAGAGGGTTACTCAAGCTATCCTCCATCACTGTCATCATAACATGGAATAGAATACTATAGCCTTCCCCAACTTATAATCCAAAAGATAAAAACCTGTTTCCAGTATATGAGTTTCTCCCATAATTCCTAATCCAAAATATGCTCTCCAATAAAAACTATGTCATTAAATTGATAATCCTCAAGGTGGGTAGTGCAACTTGCTTGAGTCCCAAAGTGTCTTGCTGATGATCATGCACAAAACATCAGAATTGCAGCAGAATTGCAGCAGCAATATAGGACCTAGCAGGATAGCAAAAATGGAGCAACATGACATCATAAATGCAGCATTATAACATAGCAGCAACAACAACAAAAAAATGCAAAAGAAGCAAAAAGAAAGTGTACCAACGGCAGTAGCAAAGAAACAAAAGAAGCTTGTTATGTAAGGATTCTTACTCGAGATTATCCTACAACAACTGAAGCTTGTTCATCCTGCATGAATAGTGAAAATAAAAATCCATCACATAATATGTAAAAAGTTTAGTCATTAAATAACATTCATTCATTCACTGTAATCATTATTAAACTCACAGCTTTGCGTTTAGCGCATCCACGAGAATTGTGTCCTTGAGCTTTACAGTATTTGCATTGAATAGCTCTTGCTATTCTCGATAACTTAGTCGGATCTTTCTTATCGGATGCTAGCAACTCTTCCCTAGTATATATCCTTTTTTTCTTACTCTTGCCATCCATGGACCTCTCTTCAGCACTCATTACTCGTTTCTTCTTTGGCCTCCCAGGCATCTTCCTAAATGGAGGGGGTTGTACAGCCTCATACTCACTTCTCACCCAAGTTGTGGGACCTGGCATTGGATCTAACACATGCTCGTATGTGCTCCTAAACTTAGCCACAGTAAAACATTCAGCAATGTAGCTCTGTGGATCTTTACCTTCGGATACAATACAACTAACAGCATGTGGGCATGGAATACCCGACAGCTCCCACGCTCGACAAGAACATGTTTTCTCATTGACTCTTACCACAAATCTCTGATCCTTGTGTCGGACCTCATACCCGCCCTTTCCATTTCCTGTGATGTGACAGAAACAACTTCCCCTTACCATTGTATCAAGCTTCTTCAAAATCCTTGGGCAGAATTCCTTGTCCCACTTCAATGCCATGGCCTTTCGTTGTGCGATTCGATCCATTACACCCACACGCATGCCATCCAACATGCTATAGATAGGCCTGTGGCGATCCTCGAGTATGCTTGCGTTGTATGACTCAGACATGTTGTTAGTAACTGAATCACACTTTGCCTCTGCAGAAAAGAAAGCACGACACCAATGCTTTGGATCAACTTTCACCATTGCAGTAGCTGCTTCAGCATTACAAGCCTTCATTTTTTCAAGGGCACGATTGAAATCCATCACAGTAGTGGACTTTGCAGTCTCCCAAAAGATCTTGTGCCAATCTTGCTTTCTAAATTTCTTCCTCCAGTTGCAAAAAATATGTCTTGCACATAGTCTGTGAGCGGCTTCTGGGAACATGTTCGCAATGGCAGGGACCAAACCCTACAACATATGGGGCAATAACTCAACATAAACTCATATAAACAAAAACTAACATTGTTATTATAGACTGTAGCATGAGGTTACCTTCATTTGGTCAGAACAGAACGTCCATCCATCTCCATTTCCAATAGCAAGGTCATTACTCAATTCGGTTAAGAACCAATCCCACGAACTTCTTGATTCAACTTCAACAACAGCCCAAGCTACCGGGTACATTTGGTCATTCACATCTCTTCCTACAGCTGCTAATAACTCACCTTTGCAGAGACCTTTCAGAAAACAACCATCTAATCCAAGTATTTTGCGACACCCTGAAAGAAAACCCTTCTTCAGGCCACCAAAACAGACATACATTCTTTGGAATAACGGCTTCTGTTCTGGGTTACCGGTGTCAACCATGATCTTTACATTTCAATCGAGATTTCTGTGAAGAATTTCTTCAGCATATGTTCTTAAAAGACCATATTCATCCTTGTAACAGCCTTCAGTTTTCTTCAGGACTGCAGCTTTTGCTCGCCAGCAAGTCATATGATTGACAGAAAAACCTATTTCCTCCTTAATTGTCTCCATCATATCGTGTAACTTCCATTTTGGATCGCTTCGGATCCGCCTCATGTACTTTTCAGCAACAAACTTTGGACCCACCCGCTTATTGCGATAGTGTTGTGGACAAGTGTGGGGCTTATAGGTTTTGACCCTAAACCTTTCAAAAGCCTTGTCCCATGATACAAATAGTGTCCATTGGCAACCATTCCACTTACAAACTGCTCTGATGCGCTTTGTGTCATTCTGCTTCAACTTTACATCTTTTTTTCCCCTTAATAGAATGATTTGTGATAGCTTTCCAGACCTCGTCCATTGCCACAAAGGTCATTCCTAGCTCGAAATAAGGTATATCTGTGTTGGTGTTGAAGGATGTTAGCCTACTCTGAGTCTTCATCGTCATCTGAGTGAGGTGTTTCAAGGTCTTCCGTATGTTCTTCAAATCTCGATTTTGTCGCCTTTGCTGCAGCCTCATCTTCCACTTCAACATATATATCATATACTTCCTTACCATCATACGAATGCAGCAATGACCTTATGCTATCGTCATTCACAATAAGAACAAACCCATTTACTCCACTTTCAGCTTGTTCCTTATAATATAGCTTGAAATTGTTCTTGTGGTTCTCTTCTTGATGTAAAACAGCCATTAAATCCATAAGATTGATTTCATCTGGGTCTATATACTCTGCTTGAATCAACTCCCCTCCTTCATATTTGCAATCACCGTGACCAATTACACGCCTACCCCCAATGTGGTATAACAAGGTTACCATCATTAACGAAAACCTGCAAATTGGTAAAATGAATAAAAAAATAAGTCAATGCAAAAAGTCAGTGGAAGTTTCCTCAACAACAGCTTCTTCCATTAAAAAAATCAACAAGTGACCAACAACTTAAATTAAGAAAACACTTGCTGCTTCTTTTCATTTACGCTATACCCAAAAGATTCTTAAGAAACCATTGTCAATTAGCGAGTAATATGATAAATCAAAAGTCCTCCAAACCTGTTAATAAGATCGTCTTTGTCGTTAGCTTAAGTCAACCTCCAAAGATTTTTTCCTGCAGCAATCTACTACTGCCGCTGCTGCTCCAACTCCTTGAGGTGCTTCACAAGCCGTCGTTACCGGTCACGAAGAGTCGTGGGTGCCAATATGGGTTGCGGAAGCCGCCACCCTTGGTCGATTCTAGCAGATTGCAGAAGACGAACGACTTCACCCCTTGCGTCGTCGAACCCTTTCGTCGTCCTTTTTCGTCTGAATTTTTTAATCTTATTTAGTTAGGTGAAAACGAGATATTGGGAGATTAATTAAGGTAATTAAGAAAACAAAATTTGAAGTAAAGGGCAAAATAGTAACGTGATAAGCAAGGTTGTCAACTCACGGGTCGACCCGCGGGTTGACCCACTTTGAACCTGACCCGGTGAGAAAAACGGGCCGCACGCACCCGCCGGGTCGACTGCCACAAGGTACCGGGTTGGAGGTCAAATTGTGTCATTTTTTTCTTTGTTTTGCGAAATGCGCCTATTTTTCGATTTTTCTTTTCGCCTAACTCAATCTTTGGGATCTTAAGTTGAACATTTGAATATTAATGTTATATAAGTGTGTGTGAATTTTCACTATATGTTGAATCTAAGTACGAAATGTTATTTTGTTGTAATATTATATGTTATAACTCATATGTTAGATGAGATTTGATATAATTTATCAGGATAAGTACAATATAATGACGCTTTCCATATTTTCGGGCTAAAACGGGCTAAAACGGGTGACCCATTAACCCTTGACCCACTAGCTCAACCGGGTCCGGGTCAACCCGCGGGTTGACAACCTTGGTGATAAGTGAAAGTTTGCTGACTAGGAGGGTGGGGCCAAATCATAACGGAAAGAAGACGGAAAAAAGACAGAAGGGTGTGTTTGTTAGCACCGAAATTGTACAGAGATGTGTTTGTTAAACAAGATAGTAGAGGAGTGTGTTTGTTAAAAGCACCAAAGTAGAAGGGTGTCTTTAGTCATTAACCCTTATCCTTTTACTTTGTCGATTGAGTTCATCCAGGACAGACCTGTTGGATGGTGACGTCCATCTCAAGCAAATGGGAGCGGCGTGGCATTGCATCCCGCCATCTCAGTAACAACGTCGTCCTTCAAAGCCTTCACAAAACTAAACCACTTTCGTTTCAAATCACAGCACATCGTTCACAATCTCAAACCGACCATCATCCATTTGTGCTCACTTCTCGATCAGAGATCGCCATTTCCACTTTTCTCATCTCTCTCTGGAACTGGAGACATCTTCCTCGAAGCTTGCATCTCTTACCTCTCACGAAGATCGCCACCGCCTCTCCGAAGGCTAATGATGATCACTGTCTTGATCATCATCCTTAGCAAACAGTTATCTTCTTGTCTTGTATAAATAGTGTTATAAACGCGCTGCTACGGATCGGGAAATCGCCGGAATCGACAAAGCAAGAATACGAAAGCGAGAATCGAAAAAAACACAGACATACGATTTACGTGGTTCACTAACACAATGTGTGTTAGCTACGTCCACGGGCGAGAGAGATCCAGTTTCACTATATCGAGGAGATTGCAGAGTACAGAGGAGTATGAGAAGTATTTATAGTACTTCTCCATGTGGGTCTAAACCTAATCCAATCTGGCAAAGGAAAACGGTTACAGACCAGGCCCAGAACCCGAACCCAAATAACAGCGAGACCCGCGATTACCAGTCGTAGCGGCTGATAGTCCGGTTCAAGTCACATCAACAAATAGTATGTTTGAATCTTGCGTTTAAACTGGGCAGTCTGTAGTAGAAGAATAGAGAAGTGTCTTCTGTTACTTTGGATCCGGATCTTGCTTCAGTAGAACAATCACAGTGTCTGAGTACTAGGTGATTAGTTCTTGGGAAGTTGTTCGTGGGTTTTTGTTTCCAAAGTGCCAATTCGTTGGGTTGGCTCTTATTCAGGGTTATGTTGTATGTTTTCTTGAAAAATAAATAAAAGTGTTCTCTTTTTAGAAGCTGTTCATTTGAGAGTGTTTGCCCTACAAAGATCAAGTTCTCTTCCCACTCTAAATTCACAATTGGTATCAGAGCAGGTCTTTGACGGATTAACTATCACAAAAAAAAGGTTTAATACACTTGTATATCCAAAACTTTCACGGTTGTGCCAATAATATCCAAATTTCCCGGAAATACTACTTATATCCATGTTTTAAAGTTGTTCTTTGCAAAATCTATCCATTTTCCAATATATTTTTGGTTAAATACACTTGTATATCCAAAAACACCGTTAAAGGATGTGAAGGAATTGGATATAAGTGGTATTTCGGGAAATTTGGATATTATTGGCATAATCGTGAAAGTTTTGGATATACAAGTGCATTTAACAAAACAAATAAAAAGATCTGCAAGATGGTTGGGTCCTCATCAGCATCAGCATCATACTCAGCCAATACAAATCCCCCATGGTTTGATAGGACTGACTATACTGTCTGGAAGAAAAGGATGAAGATCTACTTGAGGGGAGTTGATGGAGATTTGTGGGCAATTGTTCAAAAGGGTCCTCTCCCTGTGGATGACATTGAAGAAGAAAAATGGGAGGATGATCAGAAAATATCATTGCAACTGGATTCAAGAGCAATGCATATCCTTTTCTCTGCTCTATGCCCTGAAGAAAGAAATCAAGTGGTACAATGTGAGTCTGCCAAGGAAATCTGGGAATCACTCCAAACCACTCATGAAGGTACGTCAGGGGTAAAGGAAAGTCGAATTGATGTTCTGTTAAATGAATATGAATAATTTGAAATGAGCTCAGGAGAATCCATTTCTAGCATGTATAAAAGATTCAATGATCTAATAAAAAGGTTAAAAGGTTTAGGAAAGGTATTTGCTACAAAAGATCTAGTCAGAAAAGTTCTAAGGAGTCTTCATAGAGAATGGCTTCCTAAAAGAACAGCTATAAAAGAAGCAAAAGATCTTAATACTCTATCAATTGAAAGATTAGTAGGATCTCTTATAAGTCATGAAGAAGTAATCACACAAATGAACATAGAAGATAATAAGCGTAAAAAGGTGATTGCTTTTAAAGCACAAGAGTATGATAGTGACCTTGAATATGACATAAGTGAAGATTTTCAAAGAGAATTTGTGCTTGTTAGCAGAAAATTACATCGAATGTTAAAAACGAAAAGGGAATTTCAAGCAAATAGAGCCTATCATGACACAAGAAACTCAGAAAATAGACACTCTGAACATAGGAGAGATAGAGAGGAAAACCTCCTTCAAAATATGCAGATAGAGGCCCTGCAAATAAACACTATTTAGACAGAATTAGTCAGAATGTTACTGATAAGAGTTCAGAAGGAAGGGAAATGTATAAGGGAGACCAGAGGTCTCCTGGTGAAAAGGATCTAACAATTTGTTACAAGTGTGGAAAGATAGATCACGTGCGCTCTAGATGTCCACTTAATATTAAAGCAAAGGAGAAAGCGCTTGTAGCATCATGGAGTGACTACAGTTCAGAAGAAGAAGAGGAAGTCAAGAACCTGGCCTACATGGCGTTTGCTACAAAGAGAGAAAATTACTCAGACTCCTCTAGCTGTGATGATCAGACTTTTCCCTCAAGCTGTCAGGCAATTAATGACAGTGAATCTGAAAATGGTGATCATCCCAAGTCAAATACTGAGTTTTTGCATGCCTTAGCCAATATTCAAGATGAATGTGATAGACTTAGAAGTAGGTATTGTTTGCTCATGACAGACAATCAGGCAATGAAAAAGGAAAAAAATGCTCTTAATAAGACTATAAAATTTCAAGATGAGTGTCAGAATACACTAAATGGGCAGATCTTTAATATAACTGATGAAAATCAGAAACTTATAATGTTATGTAAGAAAACAGTTCCAAGATATACTGTGAAAACCTTTCAAAAAGAAGTCAAAACTGATTACAAAAGGAAGAATAGGTTTCAAAGCAAGCACTTTGAGACCAGAGCATTCAGGAAGTATCCTACGATATATACATGTTCCCACTGTAAAAAACAAGGTCATTTGGCAAAATTCTGCTATGATTTAACGAAACCTCTTGTGTATAAATCATTTTGGGTACCAAAATGCACTAATGTTTGATTGATTGCAGAACCAGTGAGAAAATGAGAACATTTGGTTTCTGGATAGTGGTTGCTCCCACCACATGAAAGGTAGAATAGACTTATTTCCATCTCTCACCTACAAGAAAGGAGGTAAAATGGTGTTTGGTGATGATAGAGTAGGTATAATTATGGGAACTGGAACTATCGGTAAAAGTCCATTTCCTGTTGTGAATAATGTGATGTTTGTTAAAGGTCTGAAGCATAATCTTCTTTCTATCAGTCAGCTCTGCTGTGCTGAAATCATAATGATTTTTGAAGCTGATTCGTGTCAAATCATTAGAATAAGTCATAACAAAACGTTATTTAGTGGAACTAAAAAAAAATAACATGTATGTAGTAAATCTAAATAGTATGGAATCCTTAAATAAAACCTGTTTTCAAGCTGTCTCACTTGACCTTGAAATGCTTAGGCACAGAAAACTAGGACATGTATGTCTTTCAAAACTTTCTAAAACAAATTCTGCCAGAGAAATCCCTAGGTTAAAGGACAACTAAAAATTCTTCTGTGATGCATGTGTTAGTGGAAAACTAGCTAAAAGAAGTTTTAAGTCAAAAATCGATATTACTACCACCCAATCATATGAATTAATTCATATGAACTTGTTTGGACCTACAAATGTAGAGAGTCTT